CACACACACACGCACACGCACATATTAAAGTAGTCAGTCTGCCAGAGGAAGCTGTCGTACATGAATCTCTGCAGGAGACTCATTTTGTTTACCTAAGCTGTGTATAAGAAGATAACCTGACACACCTGATCCATCAAAGATATCTACATTATAGCACAAGACACCGGATTCATTTCAAAATAGTAAAATGGCTCCACCGAAAGCTGCTCCCATTTGCACTTGTCTCGCAGATGCAGAATGTTTCCTGCAGAGTGGCCACAGTGCTCCCACAGCTCACCTTCATAGGTTCCACTCTCTAGCAGGGCTCCACTTTGCTCCAGTTCCATAAAACGCTCCACACTCACAAAGTTGTAGTCCACCCCCGGCACCTCCCCCTCCTTAGGCTGCCTGGTGGTACCTGCAAAAAGAGAGAGAGAGAGGGAGAGAGAGGAAGAGCGTGAGAGGTCATCAGAGCCAAATAGGGCACTTGACAAGAAAAGGCAGGAAGGCAGATAAAGAGCCTAGAAAAAGGACTGGACAAAAAAAGACGGCATATTTGAGGCTACAAAGTGTATGAGAGGAAGTGGGAGGGGAAAGGAAATGGAACAGAAGAGGCTGAGTGAAGAGTCATCGCTTGTGATAGCCAAATCCATTCACACGATTGAGTGTGAGTGACAGTGTGAGACAGAGGGAGGCAGCTATAGAGGAGAAGGGAAATCATGCTCAAACAGCAAGCCGCCGTCATTCAGTCCCTATTCGAGCCAATCCGGTGCAGCTTTAGTCACGAGTGAGTCAATATGACACTTTTACCAAACATAACTCAAACCTCCGTACACGGCTCACAATACCGTGCCAATTGGATTATTGTTGAAACAACAGGAATGCAGAGGCACCACATTACTATGCAGCAATTACAGCCTTCCTACATCAACGCTCTGGTGATCTCCATCAGCGCTGCAGCGTTGAGGCTCAGCTCTGTGATTGCAGCAATGGGAGTGTCGAGTTTAATGAGGTGCTGTGTTTGTGTCTCTGCCAAGTGGATTTTCATCCCAGGCTCAGTCAAGTTCGCCGGTGTTGATTCCTGCTCTACATTGATCATTGGCCCAGTGCTCTTCCTAGAACTCAGGCCCACCTGGTAAAATCTAAGTCAGATTAATGCAGACAGAGTAATGCAGCTGCCAGAATTTCAGATCTGGATGAAGTGCTAGATTTATGCTCCAATGGTCCAAGAGTACATGTTTGAAAAGGGGATGAGCAGTTCTGACAAGTCAAAAATACAGTTCCCCTCACATTCTTTATTGCATATTTTAAAAATTCAATTTTTATCAAGACTCAGATTTTCAGACACCTTTGTCACGTTCTCTGACCACGTTTGACACTTAAGTACAAATAGTTAGATGTGTTTCATGTTAACTGCAGTCTTACTATTATGATGCTAAATAATTGACTGATTGCATCAAGGTACTGTAGCTCATACAAATATAAGGACAGGTCACGTAAACTTAAATAACTGTACTTTGAATCTGTATAACAGAAGCAGTGTTCATGTGAAATCCATCAGGTAACTAGAAAACTCTGAAGAGGTATATACAAGAGTATACACACACACACACAAACACACACAGGTTAGTCATCTCATGAAGTGCTGAACCTCTAACTCCTCTCCAGAGTGTGATATCTTAATCATTAGATCTGTATTGATTGTCTGTCACCACTTTGCTCCTGCAGTGCATCTACTGAACGTTCTCTACTGTATTTACTTCACCCGTGGGAGCAGAGATGAGAGCTTAGCAACACACAAAGAGCAAGGAAGTGACATCAGACCATCAAGCACCTATAGGTCATCTATAAGGCTGCTCGACGCTGCCATACTGTGTACAGAGGGGTGTTTGTTTGCACTTTACCTCTGTTTGTCCGCTGACGTGTGTATTCAGCCATGTGTTTGTCTTTGTGGCTTTAACTGGCGATAAAGTGCCCACTGTGCCAACAGTACTCTCATCGCCAAGCTGATCACAGCTCAGTAGCACACTGTGAATCCTCAACACTACAGGTATGAGTGTGTGTGTGTGTCAGTGTGTACATCTCTGAGTGTCCCATCATTGTTTGATGTACTCTGATCAAAACGCTAAACCAGTTGAATATATTGAGTAGTTGTTAGGTTTACATAAATGATCTGTATTTATATAGAGCTTTTCTAGTCTTGATGACCACTCAAAGCACTTTACAATCCAGTTTGTCATTGACTCATTTACACACACATTCATACAGTGCATCTATTAGCAGCACTTTTCAATTCGGGGTTCAGCCTCTTGCCCAATGACACTTCTGCATGCAGATGGGGAAGACTGGAAACTAACTGCTAACTTTTGTTGCAATGATCCAATACATTACAGATACATATGAAGTAACAGTTAATATGATACAATTCACCACCTGTGATGCAGTGTGATGTGTTGATTATTGTACGATTCAATGTGACACAATTCAAATAAAATGTTTATCTTATGCAGCTCCTAATAAACACGGTTTCATTTTATCTTTGTGGTTCTTCTTAAGCAGACCATAAATTATAAATGAACTCAAAAGATGTTTCATTATTAAATCACATATTTGTTCTCTTGTACAGAAACTCAGTAAACCAGTTAGACCAGTGCTTCTTTCCATGTTTCCAGTTATAGTTTTATAATATCACACACTTGACAGTTTAACAACGTACAGATCCTCAGAATTAACAATGAAGCATAGTGCAATACACTGAAACTGCTGCCAATTGACAGATGTGCTGTACTTTTGACAGGTAGGCTAACGCAGCAGTTAGCAGAAATCACCGGTTCTCTTTCTATACTGCATAGCAGACTTGTCAAATTGTCCGTGTCACTCGGAAAACAAACGACAAACATTTGATTTGTAGCATTTGAGTGAAACGTGCAGCTCTTCCTCCTCCGAGATAATCTGTGACTCGCCTGAGATTTGGCTGACAGATTTGAGGAATATTTATCTCTGACAGCTGTGGAGATGAGAGACCATGCTTCATTTATATGTAATAAAGCCATAGATAAACCATAGAGTGTACCAAGTACCAGCCCCTGTTTCAAATATTAATAAGCTTTTATAGAAATGTAGATTAGAAATATAGATGCATAAAATGAAAAAAGAGCTAAAAAGTTGGCAAGAGCTATTACTGAGATGAAACTCAAACAATGTAAAACTTCAGTAAATATTTTATCCCCGTATGACAGTGACATAATTAGTTGCTTTAAATAAAGTATTTTTAATAAGTGGCTTTAAGTCAATCAATGTCTTTTAAATAACTGTATTTTTTTCTAATTTTGTCTAGCTCCTGTATAACGTAATATAGAATAAAAGTGTTGCCGCAAATAGGTTTCATTTTGACCATTTAAGGACATATTGATTTCCATGGTATTTTATGACGCTGCAGTTTATGTGCTTATGTACTGGACTGCATTATATCATAAGATCAAATATCTTCCCCACCCCCATAAGTTGACTCATCATTCCTCCTCTGACTCAGACTGTACAAAGATTTAACATGACATATGCTCAACAAAGATACTGAAAGGATGTTTGGTCAGTTTGACCAACTGCCTGTGTAAAGAAGCTTCACAGACTAGTACAATGAGACTCACTCCATGAACTACATTGCACAGGAAACAGAAAACAATATTGAAGAGGACCGTCCTTTGCGTGCACATCTACTCTGAATACCGCAGCAGCTCAGTCAGCCAGGAGGGGCCGGTCGCCTTCCACTGGGTACAGCTATTGATCTACAAGATCTGAGTGAAATTATTCTGCTGCCCACACCAGAGTAGGCAGACCCTGTTGGAATACTGATACCGTGCCGATGGCCTTCTCCCACAGCTTCCTTCACTGGACACACCAGACTAACAGCGAGAGCGAGAGAGAGAGAGAGCGTCTTGGATCTGAGCTGAGAATATTGATCGATTATCTGGCCTTGAGATAGGCAGATAGGCTGAATGTTCTTCCTTTTCACACATTTAGACTCAGAGCAGTTTAGCACATTACTTGTTTTTCTTCCCTGCTCTCTGCTCATCTCTTCCCTTTAGCAACACAACGTAATAACTGTGAAGTAGACCTTCCTATTAAAATGAACACTGTTCCTGGAAAAATCCATTCTCTTTTACTTCTGCCCCTGATGCTGCCTTTGTCTATCTAAGCCATCTTTAACCATACACCAAATTCCTTTTTCCTCCTTTTTCTTAGCCTTGAAAACTCCGGCAGAAACCAAAACTGATTCTCAAAGAAATTCTATCTATAATTGATGAAGCCTTGTGGATGAGGGCTGAAATGCCTTCAGCTCAGTTCAGTTTAGGGGTGATTTTTCTTTACTTTTCATACATAGCCACACAAACTCAGATGCAGTGCTTTAATAAATGAGCTGAACAAAGCAGGACAAGCTGCAGGTGCTGAAATTAAAAAGTAGCAGCAGACTGTGAGCGGAGGCAGCGACGCTTCCCCTGAGCCAAAAGCAAGGCTGCTGTTGATTATTGATTGAACGTCGTGCTCTCGCTAATAAAGGATAAAGTCGGCTGTGAACCAAAATGGTCTTTGCATTACAATCAGCCGGTGTAGCCAAACCTCTCAGAGGTGATGCTGCGAGTATGGGTATGAGCGCCATAGAGATTTATGGCTTAAATGACTTAAAGCTATAATAGCACAGTAAAGCTTCAGAGCTGCCACTTTAGGGGGTGAAGACATTCTCTAGCTCATGCACGACAGCCGAGCGCTACAGAATATTTTAACATTAATGGAAGTGCAGGAGAGAGAGAAAGAGAAAAGAGAGATAACGTAGAAACATAACAAGGAAAGTCCATTTGGCACTAAAGCTAAAATAGCTGATATACTGAAATAACTCAGACGATAAGAGGACAAATACCTTTGCTGAATAATAGAGTGGCAGAAGAGTGGCAAGGATAAAAAAAAAACCAGCAAAAGACAGCAACAGAGAGAAACAGAGAGCGAGAGAGGAGAAAGAGAGCGATTGCTTAACCTCACTGTGCATCCACAGCCTGCGACTGAGCTGGATACAGCGCACGTGTACGAATACACATGTTTGTGTAATGAGAGAGGAAATCACCAAGAGGGAGCAGCAGAGCGGGGGAGACTCTGATCTAAAAATAGTCTATCGATGGACTGATTATCATAATAAAGGGTGGGGGAAGGTGGTCAATTACAGTCTCAGTTCAAGTACGTGTGGGAATGTCGAGATGGGGGGGGGGGTCATGTTAGCAGTTGCTATTGACAAAGAGTTAAAGGTATGATTGTGTCCTCCAAAGTTCTGAGACTCGTTAAAAAAAATACTCCTGCAGCATTTGCAGTTGCAACCATCTGTGCAGTAACTGGACAGAGCAACAAACCTAGACTGGATACATATGGTCC